GTATACCGCTTTCTCATTTGCTATAGCAACTCGCAGGGGTCGACTCATCACCTCCCGATCAATACCGATGTTCTGACTAAAAGCCAACGAAACAAAAGACCGACTCGCACCCGAGTCAAATAATACTAAAGCAGGCAACGAAACAAAAGACCGATGCTCACTCATCACCTGCCGGCTGAGACTGAGCCGGCTGCCGATCCACCCGTTGAGACTCGGCCTCCTCCCTGGCCTGGGTCTCCAACTCGATCTCATGCTTCCTGGCATTCGCCTGAAGCTCAGCAAAAGTCTGATATGACGAGTTCGATACGAACTCCCGGATATCCCTCCTCAGCACTCCCAAATACCGACTCATCCGAGCCTGTTCCGCGGACACCTGCTCGGGGAAAAACATCGCCCTCTCATGAAACTTCCGCGTGATCACCGTAACAGAATCATTACCCTGCTTGAGGGTCAAGAACTCCTGAACCAACCGTTCCCTCTCCACCGGGGGAACATACTCGTCTCTGAACATAGCAGTAAACCTCTCCCAAGTCACAGCTGAGACCTCTGCCAAAGTGAAGTTCGCCGTCACGAACTTCCACCAATCCTTTGCTCCCAGACGGAGCTGGTTCAAGGCGAACTGTACCCTCAGATGCTCCGGACATGAACAAGTGTAGAAGCATCCCTCGATATCAGCAATCCATCTCATCGCAGTGATCGGATCCCGCGTCCCGTCAAACTCCGGTGGCTTCATGTTGCTGAACTCCCGGAACAGCAACGAGTCACCTCCCTGTGGTCTGGCAGTGGCCACAGCTGCGGTAGCTGCAGCGGCGGTGGCCTCAGTCAACGCAGCGTACCGCTCATCAAATGTCTTCATCAGCGTGGTCTTAATAGACCCAAACATCTCCGGAATCTCAGCCTGGATCGCTGCAGCTACCTCCTCATGAATCATCTGACGAAGCTCCTTTTCAGTCACACTACTCATACCAGGTCTGTGTCGTGGTCCAACCATGATGTCTCTGAAATACAACATAAAAATATAAGAGAATCTATCGGGCATAATCGCACTCGATAACGCAGTCCTACTCAGTCTCCAATACCCAGGGATTCTTACTTGGGACGCCCACTGACCCGGTGTCCTTAGTAGTACGGGCCCAATACTACCAATTACACCGTGTCAGTATTCACCCCAAGTCCTGCTCCCCAAACCCCGAATCCTGAGTACTCTATTCTTGTCATACACTAGTTACCCACTTGCTCTCAAGCACCTCATAGAAGCAGGTTTCCCTAGACTAAGGCATCACAAAATCAGGCCACTCTAGTCCTAATATGTATACCTAGTCTACTAGCATGCGTATCATATCATATCATATCTCATAACACATATTGTAAGAGTATTTTGGGGATTTTACCGTTCGGGCGCTGGCTGACCGTACACACTCCTTCTTCTTTGGTTGTCTCAAAATCACTTATCAAATTTTATTGATTTATTAATTAAAATTTTCTCAAATCCCCGGTTTGAGTTCAGTTATGCCCGAAGGTGTACCCGAATCCCTCAAACCAAGGCTCTAATACCAACTTGTAACGACGTAAATTTCAAAACCACTTTTTCATTTTTACAAACATCAAAAACATCGAGTAATAAATTTAGGTTCCAATGTAAACAATATTGTCACAACCGATTACATAACAAAGATCACAAAAATGGTTTCCCCGAGTGTGTGTACGATCACGCCGGCAGCTTCCCACGGTCCTTGCTAGTACCTGAAACAGATAACACAACAACTGTAAGCATAAATGCTTAGTGAGTTCCCCAAAATACAACCTACGCACATACGCCTTTCCAGGCCCTAACCTTCCGGTCCATGTGTCTCAGGGGACTTCCGTCCCGACTGGGTAAACTTTCCGGTCCTGCCCACGTCAACCTTACGGTCCATACTACCACGCCTTCCGGCCCATAACATATTCTCCTTCCGGCCCATATCAAGCATATCATACATGGCACATATAACAATTAACTTATCACACATAAAGCATATATCTCATATCATATTCGACCTTCCGATCACACAGTCAAACCCTTCCGGGTACTGTATAGTGAGAAGACTCACCTCGTATGTCCCGATAACTCGTGAACCCTGGAAATCACTCGTGCTCAAACCCCTGAGCTGTAATCCTCCTATAACATCATATATCTATAATTGTTACTTGTACCACTAAGGTTGACCATCTTTATCAAGTCAACACTGGTCAATTTGGTCAACAGTCTTTGGTCAAATTGATCGGACTCGGCGAGCGCACTAGAGTGGCTCGGCGAGTCTACGCGTTTTCACCAACTCGCAAGGATTTTCCCTTTGACTCGTCGAGTTCTCCCCTAACTTGACGACTTCCACCCCCCCCCCCCCCCCCCCCCCCCGCCTATTTTCTCATCTCTTAGTCTCCCTTGTTCCCAGCACGTCCAACCCTTCTTTGTTCGTCCAACACAACTCGGGCTTTAATCTGCAAGAAAACCTCCAACTACATCCTCTACATGGAAAAAACCCTAATTGGCAGCCACATGTTGACGTCAGGTACCCTTGAGATGAAAGCCTCATTTTGATGTAGAGATCCCCTTGGGCTATTATGTTAGGGCCGATTTCTCATATATTTGGTTCTTACATCCCCTTTAACCAAACCCTTAGCATCCCAAAATAACCCTAATCTTCCGTTCGTTCTTTTTATTGGCTAGAGAGGGAGTTGTTCGAGTTTTTGTGTAGGTCTGTCGGATTTTTGAGTCACCGTCGAGGGAGAAGATGGAAGAGGACCTCAAGAAAAACTTTGCCTGGTATCGATTCCTGTTCTTTTCTTCTCCTTCATTTTTGTTTTTTTACATCAAGCACCACCTACCGTCGTGGCCGACAGCGTAGGCTACCGACGTGTTTCTCTACCACCACCCACAACCATTAGGTGGTTGTGGTTGTGTGTGTGGGTGTTGTTAGCATGAAATGTCCACTTTCAGCTCCTGCAAAACCTTCAAAGCCCAGGATACCAAGGTTAGTAGGTGTTTCTTGTTCGATTTCTCAAAAGATATGTGACCAACAAAGCAATATCAGACCTGGTTCAAAAGTCGGTTGTACCCCTGTGGCCAAGACAAGACAAGTTGCTGCCAAGTATATGACAACTCCAAGGAACAAAAAGTGTCTTTCCAAAATAAATTGTTATGAAATGATGTTCCATTTATCTATGTGTTCATACTTTGTTCATGTGTTTCACCTCAAATATGACCAGAACCACTGCCAAAAGAAATTGGTATGAAATGATGTTCCATTTATATGTTTTCCCCTTTTTTATATGTTTACCTTAATTATTTACCTTCTGTTCATGTTAACATTTAAACAACAGCTAAGCAATGGATTGTGGAACCTTATCCAAGAGGATCTTTTCCTTATATAACTTTCTTATAAAATTGTTAATGAGAGGTAAGGGTATAGTTGTCTATTTACAGTCCTACTGATGTTCAACTTGCCTTTAGATTGAGACACGAGAAGAAAACTCTCTTGATGCTGCAAGAGGACTGGTGTATCTACATGAGGATTCACAGCCCATTTATGAAAATTTTCATGTCAAGATTACTAACTTAAATAGGAATATAAATCTTCTGTTAATTTAATTTAAGTCCTGCACAACAAGGTAACAGAATTTAAGAGAACAAATGATGGTGAAGTCTAAAAAAATGTACGTGATTCAATTGTTAATTCAATGAGAAAAAACAATTTAGTAATAGAGCCTAAAAAAAGGTAACAAAATTTAAGGTTTCTTGCTTTATTTTTTGTTTGAACAATACGACATGTCCTTTACATGCATCACCTGTATTTAAAGAAACATTTTGGTTTAAACTTTAAAGTAATTAATTGAGAAAATAAAGAAGAAAATAAAAAAAGTATTACCAGTGCAGTTAATTGAAAATGATGATTTGGGATATATTGACTCACCCCCTACATCTTTTAACCTGGATTTTAACAGGATAAAGAAAAAGGGTTTTTTAATGTAGAAAAAGATAGTTCATTGCTAGAAATGTTTTAATTATTTGATATAAAAAGTTCAAAAAGAACAAATGTAACTAAAAAGTTCATTCACTATACAAAAAACTATTTGCAGATAAGTTCTGTATTTTATCAATGGAATTGATATTAAACCTTTTATCAAGGTAAGATTCATAGCATCATATATTTTAAAATGTCATTTATTTTATAATTGCAAATAATAACTAACCTCTCATGCTCTTTGATTCTCTGTCTACATTCCTCCTTCGAACCAGATAACCTCAATCCATGCTTCCTCAAGTATGTCTTACACTCTACAAGACATAACTCCTTTATGTCATTACTTCCAGAAAAGATAAAATAGCATTAAAGGATGTTTTGTGCACTTAAAAATGCACTTTTGTTTCTTTCTTTTAAATATTTTTTCCCATTTGAGAATAGAAAGAACAGTTCTCAAATCTATAATATCTTCAAAGGAAAGTGAGATGCCAAACAAGATGATCAGACGTAGGTCTTTATCATAATGTTAATGCCAATCAAAATTAATATAAACCATCATTTGAGCATGTTGCCAAGTGCATAATCCAAAAAATTAGGTCAAAATAAACAGATATTACCCTAACTAGCATAAAAAAGAATGTTTTGTGCACTTAAAAATGCACTTCTGTTTTTCTAGTAGTGCATGGATTTGATTTTATCGAAATCTTGCCTTCTAGGTGTTCGATAAAATGCCATCTTCCATTTAGAGTATAAGGTATGATTCATGTTCTTGTTGTGATGTAGTCCTGATGTCTACTAATTACAACTGGTTTTTCAATATCTTTATTCAGGTTTCCATGACACAGAAACAAGATGATGAAAGTGACAACTTGATTGCTCCTGATCCATCTGTTTCAGAACCAAGGGATGACGGAAGTAAAGCTTCAAGCAGTGGTAGTGGGTCCGCATGACATCTTTCAAGCTCTGAGAATCGTTTTTGGAAAAGGAGTTTGGTTCATGATGCCACCAGAGACAATTCATGTAGTGAGTTTTGTAGGCCTTGTTGGCGATGGAGCTGCATTGATATGCTCATTGGATCTTACAAAGGACTTCTATTTCAGCAACTCTTATCGTGTCATGCATAGTTTTCAAAAGAATCTATCTACTCATGAGAAAGGGTCGTTTCTTAATGAAACAATGTTTGTTTGGAATGAGTTCTTAACTAGCACAATTCATAATAAATTGAAGAATAATCTGTGGACTGTAGCACTAGTTTATGGCTACTTTAAACAAGTATATCTAGCGTTCATTATTTTCGAATCAAGTAATATAAATATCTAGCATTCTTATTTCTTCTTATAAAAATTAGGTCAAACTTTCAATAGGAGAAAAGGACTTCAAGTTGACCCTCATTACTAGATGATCTCGCCAGTATGCGGGAATTTGGTATGATTTCCTTAATCTTTGGAAACCTCCTATTTTGTCAGGCTCATGTAAGTTAGTTAATTATATTTCTATTTTTTTATATAGATACTTGAAATGAGGGGTAAATGAGAAAGGTATGTGTTGCAAATGATGTTGAAACATAACAAATTGTATTTGAAGATGTCCCTGAAGGATGCCCTTTGTAAATAAGCTATGTTGTTCAAAACTGGGGTTCAAAATCCGTCTTTTGGTCACAGGAAACTTCACGTTTGAATATTAAACATGATATCATATGTAAGAATATATAATAAAAAAACTTAAATTGTTTAAATTTAAACATTTTCCCAATTCATTCCCCTAAATACCAAACAGGGGTTTTGAGAAAAAACTATATAGACTGTTGGGATCAAACACATGTTGCTCAATTTGCATATAATATTGTAATTTTTCTTACAACTATTTTTATAAAAAAAGGTTGTTTCCTCTCAAGACTAGCCAGAAGTTACAAAATATGTATGGCTAGTTAGTGCTCAACCTCACAGGCAAGAACTTATCCAGGACTTGTATAAAACCTGGCAAGATCCTCAACGTGGAAAAGTCAATGGAGGCATGATCAGGTGCATATTACATATTGTGTTTGATATGAGGGGCGTTTATGTCTTTTGCACAGATGAGAGGTCTGAAGCAAGTCCCTGTCCTACCTTGTTTCACTTTTTTGGGGTGGGTTAAAAGAAAATATGTGTTTTTATGGATGTTCATAGGTTGGGTAGTGTAGTAACTCAGATATTTGAAAATACATGGAAAAAAACCAATGAGGATCATATTCTACAGGTATATACATACATATACATATATATATATATATATATATATATATATATATATATATATATATATATATATATATATATAACTTCAACTGGTGCAATTTAAAAAAAATATCCAATCCTCACTTTGTTTTTTTGTTTACAGAGATGGTGTAAGTGATGGACAGTTCTATCAGGTCCTACTCTATGAGCCCGATGCAATTTGTAAGGTTGGTTTATAAATAATTCTAAGATACCTTTAATTTGTATTTGCTTCAAATGATTAATCAACAATTTCTATTATTTAAAATCATATTTTTCAACATTCTGTAGGCATGTGCTTCTCTTGAACCTAATTACCAACCTCCAGTCACATTCATTGTTGTCCAAAAACGCCATCACACGCACCTCTTTCCAAACAACCATAACGACCGAAAAAGCACCGAAAAAAGTAGAAACATATTACCCGGTATCTTTTTTATTTTCAAAAAATATTTCATATTTATCATCATCTTAAATCCCAAAATATATATATAAAGGTAGGTTGCTATACTTGGTGATTTGTAGGTACAGTTGTGGACACAAAGATTTGTCATCCAGTTGAGTTCGACTTCTACCATTGTAGTCATGCAGGAATCCAAGTATGATAATTAAACAATCATTTAATAAGAGTAGGATGCCATAATAAAGAAATTAATAAAACTACATTCTTATTTCTCTACAAAGAACTAGCAGACCTACTCATTATCATGTTCTATGGGATGAGAACAATTTCACTGCTGAATGCTGATGAAATTCAATCTTTAACAAATAACGTAAGAAACTTCATACCATGGGATACAATGACACCACAGTTATTGAGCTTGATTCCAATTTAGCAGAGAATTTAACGAAAGTTTATGAAAAAATGGGTGACACTTTAGCAATTCAACACGGTGGTTCTGCAACCCACAATAAGGTAATCAATCCTCTGTTTTTTACTTATACTTGTTACATATTTATAAAATTTGGAGTTTAAAATTGTTTTTAAACTTTACGATCCAGTTTTGATGTGTTTTTTTTTAAATCAGAAAGAAAAATAGAAATGAAGTGACTCACAACTTTATTGTTGTGGAAGCCAACTTGACCTACAGTTTTGTGAAGGAGTACTCCTACCCCTGGAGCTACACATGGTTACTTTTTACTTTTTATTACACTTGTTATTTATTGTTAAATGCAAGAAACAACAACATACTTTCTTTTACACGTGTATTATAACATACTGTTTCATCTCTTTCTATTAAATCCCTGTACTTTGTTGTGTTTAGCCCTAGAATTAGTTATTTATACTATGGGAAAATGGTGAGATATTCATTTACTTTGTTTCATTTTTCAGTCCCTCCAAGTCCAAGTCCGGTGAGGGGCGTTTTAGACAATTCAGTCTTAGTCTCCCCATCCCTTCCTCACCTATAAACAAGGAAGAAGAAGTCGGAGGATTCCTTGTTCGTAAATCATCTCCTGCCCTTAGTGAATCCGGATTAAGGAATCTCGGGAGGGGCAGTTTGACCAGTTTGAGAAGTCAATCTTCAATTACTATCCCTATCAACCCTACGAATAGTAACATTATTTCTACCAATAATGCCCTTGGTGTTGGTCAAGCTTCTGAAATGGCTAAGAGGGATATGTCAGGGACAGATGAGAGAATGGTTCAGCAACATCCTCCTATTTCATCTTTGAGTAGCAGAATGATGTTGCCACAAAGTGGTGTCAAAAGTACTGATGGTGATAATGGAAATGGTGGTGAGGGTGGTGGCATGGGCACAAGAGTCTTTTCACCTTCTGGTGTTCCTGGCATTCAGTGGAGACCTGGTAGTTCCTTCCAAACTCAACATGAAGGGGTATGCTATATATATTGCTATACTATACATTGTATCTACATTAACTAAAATACTTTTTAATTTTTTTTAATAGGGACAATTCCGTGGAAGAACTGAAACAGATTCCAACAAGTACAACAAGGAAGCAACACCCTTCTTGGTATGCCTCCTATTTCTGGAGGAACAAGTCAATGATATTAAGGACTTCATTGATGACTATGTGGAACGAAATCAGGTCATCATATACTTTTTCCCTTTCACATTTTCTCAATAATTTCTTTGAGGTTCTATCCTCTATGCCACCTTGTCAAATTCATGATAAAAGATTCTTGTTGTTTTCACTTTTCACAAAGCATCTAAAACCACCACAAACCATTTCATATGCTGGAGGATTTTGATGAGTTTGAGGATGTTGATATGTTATACAACACCTTATCACTAGACAAAGTAGAAGCACTTGAAGATCTTGTTATCATTGGTCCACCTGACCTCGTTAAGGTAACAACATATCTGTTGTTCAAACTTCAAAAACCTACTTGAATTTATATTCCATTCATCATCTAGAAACTAGTTTCAATTACAAACCATGTCAACTTAGTCAAGTTAGTTGGCTTAATTGCCCTATGTAGAAGGAATTCATATGAACAAAAAATTTCATGAAAATGCTTTGTCTTCACCTCCAGTTCAGTCACCGGTATGTCAAATGACTAATCTACCCCCATAGGACGCCTCCCCATGTTCCCATATGCATAGAAAAACATAATATATTCTACAGGGAGCTTCAGTACATGAACAAAGTGAGGAAACATTATCCCTATCAACCCTACAAATAGTAACATTATTTCTACCAATAATGCCCTTGGTGTTGGTCAAGCTCATAGATAATAGCCTTCTGGACGTGTATGTCATCATATTACATCCTCCAAATACTACCTTAACATATATTAGTTTTTTTTTTTTTCGCAGCTCTCAATCTGATCTGGAAGCTAATTTGTTTAAGGTATATATATATATATATATATATATATATATATATATATATATATATATATATATATATATATCCCTGTTATCTCCATTATAGCCATGTCTGAGTTTTTATAGTATACCCTCCACATTCTTATCATTATAAATACTATGTTTTGTTTTGAAAATGAACTTGCCTCTACAATGGATGTTGCTCTTGGGATTTTGATTATTGAGTAAAGACTTGGAGTTGAATTTGATTTAAATCTTGCAGCATTATCAGCAAGATGCAGTAAAGACTTGGAGTTGAATTTGGCTAAGTCATTATTAAGTGAGATGGGCCAATGTACAACTGCTTATCCATATAATCAGCTATTTGGAGCATTAGTCTTAAAGAATTATGAAAGGCAAGATGCAACTTTAGTTAGTTGGAATTTGATGTACATAGTTGATTAGATGCAAATTTATATATTGTAAGATATAGAATTGTATGACATTAAATTTATGTAATAGATTCTATTTTTTGCATATGATATTTTATTTTCTATTATGAAACATTAAATACAAATTTAATTTGAAAATAAGTAAATCTATAAATAATTTTGTTTAAACATTTAAAATTATGATACGCAAAAATGTGTGTCATCTTCATTTATGACATGACCTTTCTTGACAGGGGCTTTCTGGATACGCATTGCGTGTCATTAACACGCGCGTCGTAAGGTTACGACACGCGAATGCGTGTCGTCTTCCTTTATGACAGTGCCTTCCTTGATACGCATTGCGTGTCGTAAACGTGCGTCTTAAATGCGCTTCGTCTATAAACGACGCGCAAAAACGCGTCGTCTCTCTTTATGACAGGGCCTTCCTTGACGCGCATTTGCGCGTCGTCTGAGCCTTTTACGACGCGCAATGAGCGTCGTAAAAGGCTGTTTTTCTAGTAGTGCATGGTACGTTGGGCGTACTAGCTCAGAAGTAAAACCCTAATATTTGAATTTATCCCTTTATAAAGAACATTATGACTTCATTTCTAACCACCCTTATCAGCCTCTAACCCCCTCCTAAACCCTAATCTCGTACATGTGGCTTATACGTGTGTGTGTGTTATTACAAGTTTTGGGTGTTCTTGGTTGTTGTAGTTGAAGAATGGCGTTAAATAATAAGAAGTAGATGCTAGCAAGCTTAGAGATCCAAAAATTTCCCACCTTTGTGCATCATTTTCAAGTATAAAGCTTATACATATTGGATTAGGTGTCTAAGCTCATCACGATTATTGGTATGTACTTGACCCGAGAGTAGCATGGTCCATTTCGGTTGCATGGCATCGAAACAATTTGGATACACTTTTATGAGAATAGGACATTTATGATTTATTAATATATTATAAGTTCTAATATATTAATATGAAATCATATTATATAATTAGTATTGATCAAGAATTAGTTTGGAATTAATTTTGTGATCAAAAGAGACTAATTAAATAAATGGGGATTGATTTAGTAAATCATTCATTCTTATAAAGTGGGCTTATGATCCATAGCTCTTCATCTTAGGCTAAACCCATGTGGTGACCCATGGATACTCCATGGAGGTTAAAACCCATTGATCATGAGGAATGTGGAAAGTCATGAGTTACATGGTGTAACCCCAATGTGCACACTATATAAAGAAGCCTCATACTAGCAAATTTGGTACTTAAGATATACAAGTGAGCGCTAACCGATTTTGGTGCAATATAATCTTCTCTAAAGTTATTCCAATTGTTGGTGGTGTTGTGTGATTCCATTTAAGGTGCAACTCTTGGGGCACTAAGCTCATAAAGCTTCAAGCAACAAACTACAACAAAAGGTATATCTTCTAACTTGTTTTATAACCCAAGTATCAAAGTTTTGTATGCTAGTTAGGGTAATACCTTGGAAAGTTCAAGCTTGCATGTATAATAGAGAAAACATAGATCCAAGGTATTTAGGGTTGTATTTACACCTTAGGAGTGTTAGAATGATCAAAACCCAACAGTGGTATCAAATCCTAGACTTGTTTTCAATTATACTTAATGCTACTTGCTTGAAAATGCTTTAAAAATCGATTTTCTGCTGTTCTGGATAGTGGACTCACCGAGTCTAGTAGGGGACTTGCCGAGTCCAAGTACAAAGTCATCCAACTCACCAAGTCGGTTCATACACTCGACGAGTTGGTTCCCTAGAATGCAGTTTTTTAGTTTTTTAGTTGGAATTTGACTAGGATCATTACCCTAAACTGTTTTTTTTTTTCAAACATATAAACCTGTTTTTGATGTGGTAATGATCATGCTTATCCAAATTTTTAGATAATTGTCAAAGTTTCATGTTTTGTATTAGTTTATATGGTTAGGCTAATTACATGAAATTTATTTGATTTGAATTGTCTTGTTCTTATGAGTTTAATTTAGATCATAGATAAATTGATTGATTTTCTTGCTAGAATTTTTGATCTAAATGATTTTAATGAATTCTATAACTTGTCCTCAAGTTATGGAAAATGAAAAGTTTTTCTTTTAAAGAGATCATTAAAGTCATAGGTTTTGAACTTGAAGAGTCTTTTTCTCATAAATGGTTTTTTATTAACACCATAACTTGTCCTCAAGTTATGGAATGTCAAGAGTCATTTCATAAAATCTTTATTAAATTCATAAGTTGTGGATTCTAAAAGGTTTTGAAAGTTACAAAACTTTCCCTCAAGTTTTGGAATTTGTAAATGTAAAGGAGTAAAGTCAATCTTACCGTTAGTAGGTCTCATTCACGAAGCCGGACTATAAGGGGTATCAATTTACTACCAATAAAATGGTAGTTTAATGGGTCTCCACTCTTACCCACCCCCTCGTTTGACTGGTGGATGGTCGTTAGCGGAACGGGTAGGATAGGATTCTAACTTTACCTTCACTAAAAGTATAATGATAAATATAAAGTAAACAAACACTTATAAATTCCCAAATCTTAGTTACATAGGAAAATGTGAACATGGTGCTAACCCATGAAATTGCACTTTGCACCTTGTTAGGCCATTAGTGGAGCGTGTGTGGTTAACTGGCACACTAATCTAGATTAATAGTGCATGGAAAAGGGTAGCTTGATTTTAATCATAGATCAATGGAGCGTGTGTGGTCAACAGACACATTGATTAGGTGGTTGTAGCATTGGGTGTACCAAGCTAATTTGCATGGTTATTCACACATTTTTTGTGATCCTCAGCATCCCAGTCACAAACTTGAAGGGCACAATTGAGATTTAAACATGTCATTGAATTGTCTAATGAATCTCAAAAGGATCTAGGAGTTTCAATTCACTTAAAACCTAAAACTATTTTTTGTTTTTCGTGGTGAAAAATGGTAAATCGCCATGTACCTACCTTCAAATATTTTGCAGTTTGGATTACGGCATCCCTCTACCAAATTGTAAAATGTAACGCCCTGTTCTTGAAATATCTATTTATGAGTTCCCGAGATCAAGAGTAAGGGCGTTTCGGTCCTTAATGTGGATAAAGAGTTGAGGAGAACGGACTTAGGATGGAGGAAATGTTGTAAATTAAAGATATTGGCAGCAATGGTCCCTAAGGGGGAAGTTTAGCAAAGGGGTCCCATGCATGTCAAGCATGCATGTATGAGTTTGGCTAGGTACGCCCAACGTAATGAAGGAAAGGAATGTGGGGGTCTCTCGACGTACGCCCAATGTACTGGATGTACGCCCAACGTACGTCTATCTTCCAGAAACCCTAAATTTAAGGCCAACCACTATATAAGGAACATAATGGCTCTCACCCTAGCCTCCATAAACACTCTCTCATCCTCAGAAGCCCTAGATAGTCGTGACACCTCCATTGTTGGGTGTGTTTGACCTTGGAAAGATTGTTTTAGCAAAGGAGAGCTAAGAAGAAGAAAGAGGAAGTTGTCAAAGAAGGAGTGGGGTGGCTGGAGCTCGTAGATCTGGAAAAGGGATCATCTTCTAGAGCCCTTTTGAGGTAAAAAGTCTCTGGCTTGACAATCATATTATGTAGATCTATGTGTTGTGAAGTTTTGACATCATTCTTGTCCCAAAAACCTCATCTTGATGCATGATTCGAGTTGGTCGAGATTAGTTGTCATTTCAGACCTTAGGAGAGGTCTTGAGTAAGAAAAATGAGGTCCCAAGGGCTTTGGTTGTCTCATATGTGATATAAGTAGGTCTTAATGGATTAAGAGCTTTATGGACGTCCCAGGTAATAAAGTTTGAGACTTTATGAATCCTAGACATATTTGGCCTATGGATCTGAAGTTTGGGCTTAAGAGCTTAAGTCATTAAGAACTTATATGGATTTGTTGACCAGCAAAGTTACGCCCCATGTACATGATTATACACCCAACATAGTGGGTTTGTGTCCCGATTGCAATCCGCGAGCATGGATGTACGCCCAGCGTCCCAAGAGGGGTACGCCCCGCATACTCCCTCTGTTGGGTTTTCAATTTTTGGGCCTTATTTAATTGGGCTATCTATGGACTAATAAAGCTTGGGCCTTGACTGAATAGTATGGATGGAGTATTTTGGGCCCAGTAATTATTATGGAACTTGGATCTTGGCCCGTTTGTTGAGGTGGGCCCAATTTAGTAAATTTGGCCAATATTGGGCTTTGTATGAGAATTTGACTTTGGGTCTTGGCCCAATGAGAGGATGATGGACTTGAAAAGTGTTATGGGCCTTAGTCTTGGACCAGATTGAGTTAAGGGTAATTGGTCAATTTACCCTTGGAAGGATATTGTGATTGATATGATGGTTATCTCTGCCTTCTTGGCTAGTTCGGGATTTTCGGTGAGTTGGTGATTCGGGAGTCTGCTTTTCAGTTCAGAGGTTCAGCAGTTGCGAGGTGAGTTATCCTCACTATATCGATAGCATTTAAGGCACCAAGGCCGGCCCTTTATCGGATTGTAATCTGGGTATTGTTGTTGTGTTATTGCTTTGCTATGTTTGCATCCTGGTAGTTAGGATGGTATATGTTAGTGATCAGTTAGTTCGGTATCGTGTTTAGAGTATGCTATGTATGTGATCTGCTAGATGGGTTGATTAATGAATAACTGTGATGTGGTTATATGTTTATGTGCACATGATTGGTTGCTTGAGGGTTGGGTTGAGGCAGATCCTGCTTTGTGCTGTAGGCTAACATAGCCAGGGTGGACTCGGATATTCCGAAGGCCTAGTGAGCAGTCTGATTAGGCTGTAGGCCCCATGAGGGCGGACCAGACGTGCCGATGCTCGGAGAGTGGACCAAGCCAACTGAAGGCTCGGTGCAGGCGGACCAGTCATACTGTAGACTTAGAGAGTGGACCAGGTGGGTTGAAGGCCTGGTGCGGGCAGACCAACCACACTACAGACTCAATGGATATGGCTAGACTCGGAGGGTGGACCAGGTGGACTGAAGGCCCAGTGCGGCGGACAAGTCACACAGTAGACCCGAAGTGCATGGTAGTTCTATGTTCTGTTATGATATGGTATGTTATGTGTATGGTATA